CATGCACCACCACCCCCCGGAAAAAAAATCTTGGCTACGCCGCTGATAGGAAATACTTTGTTACAAGTCATACATGCGGGTATGATGTTAAAAAAAAAGTTTCTACCTTATTATGAACTCGGCCAGTATTGTGATTAATGATTAGTAATAGTAAGGACTCCGGTTGAACAGTAAGCCGTATCTATCAACACGTTCACGACCGCATGTCAACTATTGTTGACATGGGGGATCTTACAAAAAACCAATGTCAACTATAGTTGACATGCAGCCTATTGAAGTATATAGGGTTTCCTGATACGTGGTTTTTTTTAACACCCAAATAAATTTTTGGTTTTTTTCAACACATTTTTCTTTATCATTCAGTATCGTTGGKTTTTGAATAACTTCACTAGATCGTGTTTTACTTAATTTAATAAATTTTCATAAAACGAGGGTGGTTTTTTTAAGGATACACAAAAAAACCACATTTACAACTCCGTTAAAAAAATCGTACATTATTTTCGAAAAATCGGTAAAGGTACTYATACATATTTCCATTCTTTAAATAATTACTTTTTAACAATATCTTAACAAACTCGGTTGGTAGTTAYGCAATGTTTTTGTTTAAATAGTTTAAATTGGATTTCCAAACAACCGTTTAAAATAATTTTTATTATAATATTAAATCTTTTTTTTTTCATTTTATTATATAATATATAAATATAAAATAAACATTTAAGTGGTGGATTTGTGCCCACCCGCCCCATCAAGTTTACGTGCTCACCCGTTATTAATGACGATTACGCGAGGGCGATGTTGTTTATTACTCGACATTATCATGTAAATATTGAATCGGATAAAAAAAATTATATAAAAAAAAAAAAATGTTTGTTCATGTGTAAAAAATAATAATAAATGTTGTGTAAATTTCTCCATATATATTATATAGGTATATATTATTATATAAATATTGTATTAAGCAAATGGTAATGAAATCTTTTTTTTTTAGTATATTATTATAAAAACATAAATTTTAGATAATTATTTGCAAGTTGTATAATATTCTTACGTTGAAAACAATATTATAATATATATATTATGTGTATAAAATATGTGTAAATTAGAATCGGTCTTTCTTTTTAAAGACACGAACTGTGTTCCAAATTTTGTTTTTTTTCCGCAATTAGTTTGGTCGTATTACATAACATTATTATAATACACTATATCTATATATTATATATAAATATCATATTATATTGTACATTATTACGGTTAAGAAATAATAAATTATGCAAATTATTTTATAGTGTAAAATAAAAACTCAATCTACCATAATATAAACGTTGTACSTGTATTATATATAAATATCATTATTAATATTGTACCACTCAAATTTTAATTTTAGTCATTGGTACAGCGTAAGGATACGTGGTATAATTCGATCATTAGTATAATATTATATAAAAAACGGTGTTGAGAAACATAGGTGCAGACCACATTAGAATAGTAGGTAACAGTTAACAACAKTTGTCATTATCATCGAAATCATAATAATTAATAATATACAAGGTAACCATTTAATGGGTAAACTAACAATTTCGAAAAGTATAAGATTTTTTAATTTTTTTTTTTTATACTTTTAGATTTATATTTTATGTTTTTCTAAAACCATATTTAATTTAATTTTTTTTACCCTTATTTATTGATGAAACCACTATCGATTTTAAATTTTCTAATAGTAACATATAATAAAAAGATGACGAATCAATATAATCATTTTTTTTTTTTATGAATTCACGCATTAACATTTTTAATTTTCGTGCATTTATTCATTGGCGATACAGTTACTCAAATTGTTGGTAGTTGAAGGATGWGCTGTCATATGTCACAAAAGATATTTCTCARATCAAAAAAAAGTCTGTTGATCTTAAATTGTTAAATGTAATTTTTCATGTTGGGGGTCGCATCGTTCGCCCTAAAACGTAGGTAAATGCGGAATTGTTTATACTATTTCTTCGATCCTAAAAACCAGGAGATATAGCTGATAAACTCGATAGYGTTCGACCTAAATTAACTACAAAATTGATAACCGTTGTAATTTGTACCTGATTAATGGAATGTCCCTATATATGCTAATTTGACCATTAAAGCTACGTCTTGTTGACTTTGGCTGTCGCACCTGCATTGTCTTCACTACACTCAATTTTTATCATTTAATTATTTGGTTATGTTTATGTTATTTTTAATTTATTAAAYACTCAACTACTCGAGTTAATTTCAATGAAGTTTAAAAATCAAGTCTGACAWTCTGCATTCAAGAAGAAAACAAATCCTAATAACATATAGTAAACTAAAAAWATGTTAAATGAAAATTTTACGTGCTATTGTATATTTTTAATCTTAACAAAATATTATACAATTTTATTAAGTTAAATTAAGCTAAAAACATCAAATCGATCATTGGTACTTATGTAAATGTTTGATAAAATGTATGTTTTTGATTAACAAAAAAATAATCTATAATAATCATAAATTGTTCACCTTCATTATTCTGCATGGTACAATATTATAGTTAAATAACTAATCAGCTAATGTGTAATAATATTAAATAGGCACCTATAAGTCTTTATCCTAATATTTAGGTATCATAAAAATATATTTATTCAAAATGTATATTTTGTATTAGTGTTTTGCGACGGAATATTTTCTTCTGTTTGATTGTTGTTCTTGGCCATATTTTATTACCGCCAACTAAATCTAAGTTAAAATATTATTTGTACCATTTTAAAATTTCACTGTATATGCTTTAAAGTTAGAGATTAAGTTGAGCTTTTTTCAATATTTTGAATACATGTTATGATTTTAACGCATATACCTATTGATATGTCTGTATATCATCTAATTTGGAATAGATTTATCATAGTCCTGGGATTTTAAATTACGGTACATTTTTAAAAGGCGACTATCTAGAAGGTCTYCTATCACATTTTACAAATATTTGGCGACTGTCAAAGATAAATAGATAATCCTCCATCTGAATCATATATATTCATGGATTCTAAGTCACTTTCTAGCGTAGGTACTACGTTGCTTTATTTTAATCAATATGCTAGAAATATTTTATGTAGGTATAGGTAGGTAGTTATAAGAGTAAATTTAAAAAAAAGTGTGTATAATGACAAATCCTTAATTTTAAACCTAAATTCAGGGATGTGAATAAATTATTTCAAGTTACTGTCTAGTGTAGGGGCGACCAAACTTTTTTTGGTCACGATCTACTAAAAATATATACTTCACCTTTGAGGATCGACTTTTATAGATGATTTTTTTTTTATTGTTGAATAACTTTTATAATTGTTTTACTATTTCACAGATTTGAAATGATTTTTTATTCTTAGCTAAAACATGACTAATTCGAAATAAAGCAATTGATGCTGATTTTGATTTTAAAACTGGTTTAGTGAAAATTAATTGTTGTTTATCAATTTTAAGTTTTAATTTTGCTTTTTACGTACTTCAGTTTCAGGAGGGAAATCTATTATATCAAATCTTGAGCGCGTAGTTCTAAAATAAATGTCTTTTTAGATTACCTATTTGTTGTGGATATTGTTATTTGACATATCAAACATATGCACTTGTCTGTCAACATTGTAAAAAATAAATCCCTTTCCCATTCTTGATGAAAATGATACGTTTTTTGTTTCTTATGTCGCTAATCCCATAGTTATAAATTTTAAAGAACTTAAATACGTTATTATAAATTTAATACAAAAGACACCGAATGAACAGAGTGAACAAAACATTTGTGAACATTTGTGAACGATAAAAATTTGACACACGGAACCCGATTAAAAAATAAAATAATTGTACAGATAAAACTAATCGACAATTCGATAAGTAATTCGTGCACGTGTCCCTAAAAATAAATTTTAACATGATCGACTTTGAAACTGTCCTTGATCGACCGTTTGGCCGCCCCAAGTCTAGTGTAAATCCTT